ATGTTCACGGCGAAGTATTTACAACCGAACACGACTTGGGGGAAACAGCATAGGATACCTCAATGGGAATTCAGATGCCGGTACGACATGCCGTTGGTGGGGCTAATCTCATCAAGATATCAACGTGGAATCCAATCGAATGTACGCACAAGGATCGCAAGTTCAAATATCATGTATTAATACTTGTGATGGTACGATATTTGATGCAAAATCACTCTAACACTGGTCTACTTGGATATCCATGTAAAGTCACGCATGTGGACATCGCCCTCCAAACGTACTGTAGCTGTTGTGGTTTCTATGGTCGAATCGTCAAGGTGATCATTTTCGGCAATCTCAGTGTTAATGCGCCGAAGTTGGATGCAGAAGCAAGCGCCTGAGATGCACATCTGTACTTCCTCGTACTGTCGAGTTTCTAGTGGATGCACAACTGGTCAAAGATTCCAAGGATATATCATTGAATAGTACCCTTTTACGAACGGTTTGAGCCGTTTTACGAACTCTTTTGCCCGGATATACATAGGATTTACGAACTAAAAGAATACGTAAGTGGTCACTATCAGAGTGGTGTCACTGGAGCAACCTTGTTCTTTGTATATCGGAAATATATTCGAAAAATATACACCTTTTACGAACTCTTATGAACTTCTTTATTCGGATGAATTAAAGTTCCATTTGCGGTGTGACGATGGGTAGGACCAAGCGCAAACATGATGAGGATGATTCCGAAGCAGTTGCAGGAGACCGTGTTGTCGTCTTATGGCTAGTTAATGACACAAGAACCCAGTATGCGTACATAATAGAACGCTTCAAGCGATGGCTGCTCAGCGAACACCCAGAGTTCGTTGTCGATTCCGTCGTCCAATAAAGTACCTTTACAAGGAAGCGAACATCAAGATGCACGACGAACTGGAAGCTAGACTCAAAGGTACGATCCTTGTAATTGTATTTAATTAACAGTTATGCACGTTCGAGTAGATTTTGCAAACGGATACAAGCGTCACATTGCCCAGCTTAGAGAAGACGGCGAAATGCCAATCGGGGAGGGCAAATTGCCCATGACGGTAGATGGTATCTATATTTTGCATGAATAACTATTACTCAGCGTCTCATGTTCTGGACATTATTAATTTATTATTAGGTTATGCGTATTTGGCCAAAGCAGCACTGTCAGCGCGGAGGGACCACTTTCTTGCCGTCAACGCTCACACGTTTCTCCTTTTTTGCTGGAATTTAATGGCTCCCTCCGTATCTACAGCATC